GCTGAGCGGGTGCACTTGAGCGGGTGTTCTTACCATGGGCCTGGCATGGACACAATGCTGAATGGTGCACTTGAGCGGGTGTTCTTAACGTGCCTGGCATCGATACAGTGCTAAGCCGGTGCACTTGAACGGGTGTTCTTACCATATGCCTGGCATGGATACAGCGCTAAGCGGGCGCGCTTGAACGGGTGTTCTTACCATGTGCCTGGCATGGACACAATGCAAGCGGGTGTTCTTACCATGTGCCTGGCATGGATACAGTGCTAAGCGGGTGCACTTGAACGGGTGTTCTTACCATGTGCCTGGCATGGATACAGTGCTAAGCGGGTGCACTTGAACGGGTGTTCTTACCATGTGCCTGGCATGGATACAGCGCTAAGCGGGTGCACTTGAACGGGTGTTCTTACCATGTGCCTGGCATGGATACTGTGCTGCACGCATGCAGTGCTAAGCGGGTGCACTTGAACGGGTGTTCTTACCATGTGTCTGGCATGGATACAGTGCTAAGCGGGTGCACTTGAACCTAAGCGGGTGCACTTGAACGAGTGTTCTTACCGTGTGCCTGGCATGGATACAGTGCTATATGCGCTTGAACGGGTGTTCTTACCATGTGCCTGGCATGGATACAGTGCTAAGCGGGTGCACTTGAACGGTTGTTCTTACCGTGTGCCTGGCATGGATACAGTGCTAAGCGGGTGCGGGGCATGCTACATTTGGTAGTGTTGAACGCTCTCGGTTCTCGGGTCTTGGGTCTTGGGTCTCGGGTCCTATCTCGGAGTCTCGGGTCTTGGAGTCTCGGGTCTCGGAGTCTCGGAGTCTCGGGCCTCGGATCTTGGATCTCGGGTCTCGGAGTCTCGGGTCTTGGAGTCTCCGGTCTCGAGTCTCGGGGTCTCGGTTCTCGGGTCTCGGAGTCTCGAGTCTCAGGGTTTCGGGTCTCAGGTCTCGGATCTCGGATCTCGGGTCTCGGGTCTCGGGTCTCGGGCTCTCGGGTCTCGGGTCTCGGGTCTCGGGTCGCGGGTCTCGGGTGTTGGGTCTCGCGTCTCGGGTCTCGGGTTTCGGGTGTCGGGGTCTCGGGTCTCGGGTCTCGGGTCTCGGGTCTCGGGTCGCGCTCGTTGTCAAGTGCGTTCTGGAATCTTTCATCAGCTGAGAGAGGGGATGATTTTCCCCGCCGATTACGGCTCGACCGGTCCCAGCTGAGATTCCTGATGAAATCCTTGCGTTCAACCTGTTTCAAAGACCTGTTGTCAAGACTCACAGTCGAATCCGTTGGCCATGGTCATAACTCCCTTAGAAACCTTTACAATGGCTGTCTAGACTCCCTACCAGAGGGTTCATGACCATCCCTTGGAACACAAACAAAGGAAGTAGGCTTTTTGACCAAGCACGGCATGCATGACATGTTCATTGTTGTGTTGCTTCCTCTCTTCGCCCAGTTTGCCTTAGCTTCACTCTCGATCAAACTGGACACATGCGGCACCTTGCGTAGAAGTTTGAAGGTTTGTGTTGCTGGGAGACCTGCGGACAGAACCCACAAAACGCACCAGTTGGTACTTGATGCTGGAGTCTTCCCAAGAGCATTCTCCGTGAGCCCTTGCAAGATTGACAGGGTTTCATCCTGGGTGATGCAGAAAGTGACCCTAAACCCCACATTGTTCAATATCATGGGCACCAACGCGCAGTTTCATTCGGCTGCTTGGGCTGGGAGAGGCTCCCTTCCACCACGAAGCCCCAAAACGATGTCCAATGCGTCTAAGGAACCCCCTATTCACAGGGGGCTCAAAGTGTGACCCAGACCCTCAGATACAACTACTGTGGGGCAAGCTCCTGTGATACCAAGAGAAAAAAGTCGCACAGGCCGGGTTCACTTTGGTATCACAAGGGTCGTCAATTTCACACAACAGTGTTGGTGCATGGCGACAGGTGTTGCATGCGCGGAAGTTCCCTCTCTCCGAGCTTCTTGGCAGTGCGAACAGGTCATGAGACTGGTTGACCGCCTCCCTCATCTTTGAACCCCTTCCGAGGGACTGTGGGAGCCAATTGATACATCGAAACTCAAACCATCTCCAAACGGCTGACTTCATATTCATCTCCATTGAAGCCCTCATTTTCGAAATGCCTCCGTTTTGTTTTGACACAAAGCCATTTTCCCAATTTTCCTACCCCTAAGTCCCTTCATGTCCATCCCGCTGCTTCAAGCAGCTGCTTGGTGAGAGGCCCCATGACTTGCTGAGCACCTGGTGCTGGATGAGAGTTCCAATTTTCATGTGGTTGGGTCGTGATCATGTTCACCCATCTTTTCAACCTAAGTTTCAATTGATGTTCATGTCGCAATGTGCTTGATTAGGGTCATGTTCATGTTCAGCCCGCTGTTTAAATTGTGTTCGGCCCATCCTTCTTGTTATGGTAAGGGTAAGTTTCATGCTCAACAGATTGCTCAACGTGAGGGTCACAAATGGATTGTCGGGTGTCATGTTCGTGTTTACCCAGATGTTTGAAGTTCAGTTTGAGTGTAAGCCCATTTTCATGCGACTGATCAGGACAACTACCATTCATGTTCAGAATATAGCCATGCTTACGTTTAGGTGGGTGGTTAGGGCCTCTTCATGCCCAGCCCATTGTCAGCTTGAGTTTCAACTATGCTTGTCAGTCTACCTGAACTCAGCCAAAACAAAGTAGTGTTCCCAGACCTTCCTGTTTGGTATGATTGGAGGGGCAACCCTCTTTCCCGACCTCCTCCTTTTGGTTCCCCTTTGAAGGTGGTTGTTCCACCAAAATTTGCCCAACCCTGCCTAGGAACCAAACTCTTCTGCGACAAACTGCTTGAGGCTGGTGCTGTTGGCCTCAGAGCGCTCTGCGGGCAAGAGCCTGAAGACGGCCTACGGGGAGAAGCAGGCGATTCCATCCTACGTCCATGGAACCTGATTGCAGGCTTTAAATACTTAGACTGGCACAAGTCCTCAGTGGGTCAACTAGGCTGCGAAGGATCGTGGCTTTGGGTTGCCACTCTCTGTTGTACCCCCCTTAAAGTGACAAAGTCATAGGGGACGCCCCACTTTGGTGTCACAGAAAGGGGCATTTCCCACCATGCAGTGGCATGCGGTGATCAAGAGGTGGTGGTTTCTCGTCCTGTTGGCTGAAGGGCACTTGCCTGATCAGTGGATTTGTACTTTTTTGAAGGTACCCTTTCAGGTTGGTGTCAGGTTGGTCTCAGGTTGGTCTTGGTCTCAGGTACTTGCCACATGGACTGCTGATCAGTGGATTTGTGCTTCTTTGAAGGTACCCTTTCAGGTTGGTCTCATGTTGGTCTCAAGGGAGACCAAAAGGAAACCGCCGTGTTTGGGGTCAAAAGGAAACCGCCGTGTTTGGGGTCCCCCTATTTTGAAGGGTTGGATCGATTTCCACAGCTGCAGTGTGTGTGTGTGTGTGTGCGCGCCTTGCGGAACAGGAGACCAAGGAGCCCTGAGTGAAGCGCTCTCGCCACGGAAATTCCAAGCTTGGTATCACTGAACGGGCGCATTTGAACCACATTGGGGAGCGGTGCACATGATTTTTCTGGGGATTTATGTGCACTCACCTTTTCTTGAGGGTGACCGCGTGGGGAGGGGACGCATTTTTGGCCCCAGTTCCTCGAGATCTTGAAAGTGCAGGTGGAAGCCTTCAGCGTGGAGCGGGCCCAGTCCTGCGACTTTGTGCTGATGGCCGTATCCGGCGAACGTCTCAGGGGAAGCTGGCAAAGGGTGCCGGTCCGCTGACTCCCAAAAGAAGCAAGAAAAACAATGGGAGGCTGTGTCTTTTTTGCCCTAAACCTTAAACCCGTTTGGAGGTTGTCCATGAGTTGTTTCTCTTCTTTTGCAGGGTCTTGTTCTTGTGTTGGCATGTTGTGCTTTTTGACAGATGGTTCCAAACGACTGCCCTTAGTGCAGCCATTGTATGCCCAAGATTCACCAGCTGCCTTTGTTGCACTGGTTGCTTGGCTTTTTGCCCGCCTTTTCCGCTCAAAGGCTTGGTTGCCGTGGTTTCCGAATCTCTTTTGCTGCCATTCTGACATGCCACTGGGAAGTGCCTCTTCGCCAGGATGTCGTGAATCGACGGTATCCGACGTCACCCATGAAATGCAAAGGAGCCTTTCTTGTCAAGTACACCTGTTGAATAACTTATGAAAATTAACGTCGACCCCAGATTGATCTTAAGGGGGGTGTTCTCCCCAAAATGTGAAGAGTTCCACCTCTAGAACAAGGATTGATTCATCAATGAAATCGTAGTGGTTTCTCAAAAGAATCATGGGTGCCAAGAAAGGATCCACCAGGATTTGGGAGACACCCTGTTTCTGGGTGTTGAGCTTGTCTTTGAGATGGTACGGGTGCCTTCCCCCTTTTGTCCAGGCACTTTTATTTGTTGCTGGATCTTTTCTCGAGCCTGCATTTTGACTTAGGAGGTTTCAGCACGGAGAGCCCTGGCTGCAAGAAGCCTGCCGTAGCCATGTAGTGGCCACTTAGTAGGATTGGTCCATGCTGCAATGGCTTTAGACAAGCCGTTTGCGGGTCCCTTTCATCGGGTTCAGAAGTTCGGACGGCCTTACGAGGGTCTCTAAGACAGCAAGCATTGCTGTGTATGAGCAGTCCGACCATGGCCCGCCTCGGGGCCATTGGCAGAGAGTCATGAGGCTATGTCTGAAAGCTGCGGAATAGCCTTCGAGCCACCTCCACTAATGGTCCAATGATGGTGGCTACTCTGAAAGAGAGCAAATTGTGATGTCGCCGCCCAGGCTCGGTTGGCTCGGCTCGACACGACATGGTGCCCCCCAAAGTAAGGGAGACCCGTTTCTGAGATCACGTCTTCAAGACCCAAAGATGGGGTCCCCCCAACTGGTTTCTTTCAGTCAACCTATTTGCGAACACCCTGCGAAACGATTGATGGACCTAGCTTTCCATGCAACTGCTGTCCACCTAAGGGTCCCCAATTGAAAGCTTGCCATCTGTGCTAAGCACGTGTAAGGCAGCATGGCTCTTGCGTTTCTTGTGGATTTGCTCAGGTACTCACCACAAATTACCGCCAACGGCAAGACAGTGGTGATTGACAACTCCAGTGCCTTCAGATATCACGATGATGTTCCGTGTGGCTCTGAGTGGAAAGGTTTTGGGATTTGCTGCATCAATGCAGGGGTGGGAGGGGCCATCTGCTTTCAGCAAGAGGGTCCAAGCCCGTTCTGTGGGTGACAGACACCCTTCTTTGGAAGATCTCTGTAAATTGTGGCTTGTATATTTTTCCCCATGCACTCTTAGATTGGGGGAGGCCGCACAGTGTATAAGATCCCAGACTCGACCCTCTTCCCAACAATCATGGAAGTGGAGAAGGGGCTTGCCCACATGGAAAGTAGTCTTTCCAAAGGTGCCTGCCAGGTTGCATGATGGGGACCCGAAACGGGTTCTAAAAACGGGTCCAGTTCGCACCAAAGGACAATACTGTGTGATCCGAAAGGAACTCATTTGTTAGAGCTCATTCAACGGCTGACGCACATGATTGTTGGAAAGAGAGTATGGTATGGGTGTTCCTCGGAATTGGGGAACCCTTCAGGTGGTCGGTTTCCTTTTTCCATTTTAACAGTCCCCATTGTGAGAAACGCCCGTATGATTGCTTCAGGGTGAAAGGCAAAGCTGGTCTGAGGCTTGTGGTGCCTGAGATCAACAAGCTGGGTGCCTGAGAGGGCTAAACAGGCCTTGAGTTAGGTGCTTCCCCAAAGTTGCTTCAGCCAGCAGCTGTCCCCTTCAAACGAAGAACCGAAAGGAGGCTCTTGAAAGAACAGTGCTTGAACATGTTGCAGAAAAGGGGACTACTTTTTTGCTGGTGGAGCTTCTGCTTCCCTTTCAAACCAGGCAACAAGTGGGATCGCGATTTGCGAAGACCCCCAGTTGAAAGGAATGCTGATTGCCCTGAGGGAAGGCGTCAAGAGGTTTGCGAGAGCAAGGTGAGTGGCGGTGCACTTCTTTGTTTCCTTTTTCTCTTGACACTCCCAAGCAAAATAAACCAGAGTTGACTAACCAAGTTTTGCAAGGAGACCCCGCATTGAATGGGAGTTGAATGAACAAGTAGAACTTATTTGACGGTAACCCTTGGACGAAATGTTGCAAGGAGACCCGCATTCAATATGAGTTCAACAAATAAGTGAATAACTTACTTGACGGTAAACCTTGCACAAAACTTTGGCAGGAGGCTCCGCATTCAATAGGGTTCAACAAATATATTTGACAGCAACTCTTGCACGGCATTTGCAAGGAGAACCCGCTTTGAATATGAGTTCAACCAATAAGCAACTTCTTTGATAACTCTTACACAAAATGTTGAAAGGAGACTCCTGAAAGTTTTGGTTCCCCTACGGAGCCATTGTTGGATTTGCACGTCGTTTGAATGGTGAAACTCATGCACGGGTCCTTTCGCCGTGCTCCTGCGAATCGTTCTGACAAAGGGGTCATAGGGTCAGCCTGCCAACAGACGGATCCCATGCAACCAAAAGCGTATTTTTCATGTTGCTTGAGAATCCGGAACAACACATATTTTGTGCCAGACAAAGCATGGCTCGTCTGCTCCGCTTGGATCATTCCAGTGCCATTCGCGGCCCTATCTGCCTTTGCTCCACCTTCGCTCTGCCTTCGCGGCCTCCACTTGGCTCCGCTCTGCCTCCACTCCGCCTTCGCTCCACCTTTGCTTCGCCATCGCGCTGCCTCCGGCTCCACTTTGGCTCCACTGGCCATTGGAATTGCAAGGACCCTTCCTCCCTGTTTGGGGTTGTCCATAGCCCTCGTGGCTCTCGCAATGGCTTCCTCATTCTAGGCCAGCTTGCTGCCCATTGACGGTGTTGGTGTCTGTCTGTCGCGGTTCCGCCCGTTTTCGCGTGTGTTGTCGCTGGCCAACAGACCAGATAACTCTCGCAAGACCATGCTTCCAACTGCCTCTCGGAAACGAGTCCTTGCACATTTTCGGCCGCAACCATGGGCCTTGGACCCATCATGGCAGGGCTAGCCTGTTTTTGGACCTCCAGGCGACTTTGAGGAAAAAACAGTCCCCCATTGGGGTGTGTCTTTTTTTAGGGGACCCCAACATAGCGGCGGTCTTCCTTCAGGTTTTCCCGTAAACCACAACCACGGGGTACCAACAACAGGAGCCACATGGAGCCACCCATTTTGCCGATTTCTGGTGAGCCGGTTAGGTCCGCCATGGAGGGGAAGCTGCTGGTGGCGAACCCTAACTGCACCACCGCCATCGCGGCCATGGCGCTCTGGCCGTGCCTCTTCGAAACAAAGACTCACTGCCCGAGTTCCTGGACTTCATACTTTGTGGGAAGACTATCTCAGACAGTTTTTGTTTGTCGCCCCTCCACGAAGTGAGAAGACACCTTCAGGGAGAAATGGATGTGTCTGTCTTGGAATGGTACCGGTACCCCTTTTGGAGTGGTAAAGGGAACCAAAGCCTTTGCATTTTTTTGATTCAGGGAAGCACGGCCACTGGTTTGGGCCATTGTCCAAAGAGACCTCGGAATCCGCTTGCTTTTTGCTTTTGGGAGTGCACCACTTTCGGGAAGGGTCGAAACTCGGGGAAGCCAACGGCAGAGCTTGAAGCCCGCAGTTGGTCATCTCCATTTCAGCGGGTTTATATTGGGCGGGTCTGGGAGAGGTGTCCAGGGAAAGGGAATGGAGTGGCGACAGGTCGGTTTGAGTTTGGTCTCCGTCTGAAGGAGGGCAGGTTTCAGTTTGAGACCAAACCACATGACTACAGCGCTCATTGTTCAATAGCTGTCTGTCTATTGGCGCCGGACAGTGCCGTTTCCTGTTTGCGTTTTTTTTGTTGATACAGGCTAAGGTGAGACGTAAACACAACTCTCCTGAAATACCTGATACGAACAATCCAAGAACGCGCATTTGTAGAGGATGGGAATCCAAAGCAACACCTCCAGTTGTAGAGGAATCGCAAAAAGGATTTCTGATTGAGTTCCACGCGAATCTATCCTGAGCCGGTCCATAGTGCCTCAAGCGGCTCGCTTTTACCATGCTCAGGCTGCCATGAAACAGCAACTGGGAACAACGAGCTCATTCCCAGGGATGTCTGAATTCTGGTTGGTGAATTCCAGCAGACATGATTTCACCAGACCTGATCCCACCATTCCGATTTTGCAAGTGATTCTGGCCGGCAACTTGTAATTCGTGCTGACGAGTTTCCTAGGCTCCACCAGCATTTCAAGCTGCGGAAAGTCATCGTGTCCACCTACCAGGCAGCTTGCATTCGAGTTTCGTAGTTTGACCACCCTACCAAGGACATGTCGTGAAGGTGCCGCACTTGGCTTGGGGATTCCTTGTTCCAGCAGGTGCATCAATGCAGTTTGAGGCGCAAGTGAAAAATATTACCCGCAGTTGTGCAAGGCACATAGGCACGGCGCTTTTCAGCCCTCGCAGAGGTCAGGGACGCTGGCGTGGTAAAAGTGGGCAGCCTCAAAAAGAGCTAACCTCCCAACCTAGGAAAGTTTTGTCCCTCTTTCTTTGTCCAAACTAACACCCTCTCCTCAAAAGGACCGCTCTAATTGACTTTGTAAAGGTTTTTTCCTCCCGCGATAGTAGTGTTGAGACCCGCTCAAAGTCCAACCACTTCGAGTTTTCAGTACTTCATGATGACTTCATGTGGCTTAAAGGACCGCTCTAATTGACTTTGTAAAGGTTTTTTCCTCCCGCGATAGTAGTGTTGAGACCCGCTCAAAGTCCAACCACTTCGAGTTTTCAGTACTTCATGATGACTTCATGTGGCTTAAAGGACCGCTCTAATTGACTTTGTAAAGGTTTTTTCCTCCCGCGATAGTAGTGTTGAGACCCGCTCAAAGTCCAACCACTTCGAGTTTTCAGTACTTCATGATGACTTCATGTGGCTTAAAGGACCGCTCTAATTGACTTTGTAAAGGTTTTTTCCTCCCGCGATAGTAGTGTTGAGACCCGCTCAAAGTCCAACCACTTCGAGTTTTCAGTACTTCATGATGACTTCATGTGGCTTGAAAGTGCCAGCAAACTCCATTCTAATTGTCAGGCCCTTAGAATTAGGAACTTAATTAGGAACCATCAAAGTCGTTGACACGAATCCCACCTAAATGATGGCCACCAAAGGGTGAACGCTATTGAATTTCATGCCCTTGTCCTCCCCAGGTTGATTCCCTCTTCTGGGAGTCAAGCATTGAACACATTGAACACATTGAGCCCTGTTCTACTTGGGAACCTCTCTCTGGCAGGCCGCCAGCGGCGCGGGGGCGGCGGGCATGCAAGAGCTGGAGGAGGGCACTCGGCAGGCGCTGCAGGGCGAGGAGCACAAGAACGAGGCAACCGGCGTCGTCTCGTCGTTTCGTCGTTTCCCCGAATCTTCCCCGGTTTGGTGGTGACGCTGTGTTTGGTACCGAACCTTACAGAGAAGCAGCACCAGGAACAAAAGGAAGACGACTGCAGGGTCAGAAGCTAAACCTCATGGCGGGGACCCCGGCCATGATCAGTTTGGGCTTGCCTCCCAAAATCACACCTGGGACCTGAAAATCGAGGAGCCTGGTCCATCCGGCCTCGTTCAGGTTCCACATCTGGTTTAACAGGCCTGACCACCTCACCTTGCAAAGCCATCAGTATCCCAACAGCCTGGCAGGTCAAGGCCTCTGAAACGCAATTTGGGTGTCCGCATTTCCATGTTTGGAAGCTAAAGTGGCAATGGACTTTTGGAGGGGCAATCCAGTGACCCGTGTATTTTAGGGACACCCATTGGGCCAAAGAGCTTGGACCTGAGGTGTTTGCTCACCCGCTGCCCTTCAATGTGATCCCTCACATCGATTCCTTCCAGAGCAATGGCTACACCAAGGACGGGGACCTTTGCTGCCGCTGCCTGCTGTTCGAAAAAAACCGGTCGTTTCGTCTAGTTTCTGGTGGATGCCAAGGCAATCCAAAGAAAAGGAGCCAAACCACAGTGAGCTTCCCTGTAATTGGTGGTTTAGTGGTGTTCCAGGGTGGGGTGGTTTCCATCTTACTCTTGGCAAGAAGGGGTTCAAGTCCAAATCCCAAACACTGCCAACTCCCTTCCTGGATTGGCAAAAAAGTCTGAACTCTTTATTACTGGAATGGTCTGCCCAAAAATATGTAGGGTCCAGGAACTCAGGGGCGAACCTTTTCAGGTGATCCTGAAACACGGTTCCATTTTTGACCCCTGGAGCGCTGAAAACACCCTTTTAAGGGCCCGGAGGATCCAGGTAAACTGTAGTGGCTCGTTTGGCCCGGAAAAATGACCCTAAACAGGAAAGTAAGTTGCACATGGATCCTCAGGGTGCCCTGCAGTGCTCCAAAGACTTGAGGGAAATTTATGTCCTGCAAAATGGCAAGTTTTTACCCAATGCTCAGTCGTGGTTTCAGGTGCTGAAAACGCCATAGGAAAAAGGGAAACGCACTCCAGGGTCATTCTGTGTGCCTTAAAATAGGGATCCCCACAACTGGTTGGTTTGCTTTTGTTTCCTCTAACGCCTGCAACAGGGGCTCTCCATTTTGAGACTCCCATTTCCCACCTTTGCAAACGAGGCGTCGCTGGGCAAAATTTCATTGAGTCAACTTGATTGGGGTCCCTTAGGAGGGGTTGGGGTGGGGTGGGCATGGTTGGATATCCGCTTTGAAAGGCACACGCCGGCACTGGGAGTGAACAGGGAGCCATATTTTTGACAACCCACCATTGGTATTTGCAGGGTCTTTTGGATTTTTTGGGGTACCCTGTTCTCCACCCCTCAACATTTGGATTGTTCCACTCCAAATGCAGCTCTTTGGGCGTATATTTTGAAGAACCCGGACCTTCGGACTCAGGTCAGACAACTCTTATTTTGGTGGTTTGGATTTGTGGCTTGGAAATTCGAGATTCTTGTGGGATGCCAAAGCCACAATCCAAGCCACCACAAAGAGAGGATTCTTAAAACCTACATACAGACCAAGTTGGGCTGGGGACACCCAAAATTTGTGATTTTCCCTTTGGTTTCCCTTGTTTCCTCCCGGAAACGGGGTACCTTTAAGAATCACAAGCCGTGGATCTTCAGGAGGAGATGAAGGTGGTGTGGGAGACGCAGAAGATCTTCGGCGACAAGTCGCTGGCGTGCAGCTGCACCGCTGTGCGCATCCCCACCAAGCGCCACTCGGAATGGTTGGGAATGCCTTGGGCTCCTAGGCTTGGTTCGACCCGCAGAGTGTTCTACAGGGGTTTGAGTTCTTTTAGGCTTGGTAATGCCCTTTTCAGGGCAAGCCAGAAGGAAGGCCACAGTCCATTTTTGGGTTCCCCTATTTGACACATACTATTGTTTCTTTAAACATCATGTTGTGGGCAAGGTAAAGTCAGTTTCCTTTTGGCGGGGTTATGTTTAGTAGGAATCATAGGGAGCCGTTGAAATTGTTTTCGCATGTTTTTTAGATGCAAATGGTTTTTTTCCCGAATTGGTTTGCCCAAGTTGAACAGGTCTTGCATTGAAGTTAGCGAATAGGGGTTTCCCCGCCTTTGTACATGGCATGCACGAGATCTGAGCACCCTGCCGATTACATGGACCTCCCCACAAGAAAGGTTGTCTTCATAGAGAAGTTGCAAAGCACCCGGAGGACGTCATAAGGGATGGTTTATGGGGCGATTCCCTCATTCCCAGGAAGAAAGGGTCCCCTCTTTGTCTTGAAAATCCACAGGTCTGTCTTTTGGCCCCTCCCCCCCTTGGGGTCTTCCGATCACAGCTAAGCGAGGCGCTCACTCAGAAGCCATCACTATTGAGACGGAAGAGGCGGGAAACCCAAGTTTTCGGAGTGCGATGGAATGTGGATGTTTGCTATGAGGACCCTTTGACTTTGGAATTCTCCTTGAAACACCCATGTTGTGTCACGCAGAACGGGGGGCGATTTCAGGAAGAGATCTTGGTCTCTAGGTGAAGCAATCTTTCGGCGCACCCTTTGACAGGGAGTCATTTTCGGCTATTCGATGGTCGACCCGGGTTCAGGTTGGGGAAAGCGAACTTGAGTTGAACAAGACCATGGACTTCTGGATCTCCATGATGTCTCGGAATAGGGGCGGGTGGAACGCCAAAAGAGGCGTTTTGTTTATTTGGGCATTTACAAACATGATCATTCCTTCATTACAAGCTTGGAGCAGTTTTGCGGATGGGCTTCGCGATGACTTGCACTTGAGTTTCTCTCAAAGTAGTGAAAGTAGTGGCTGCCAAACAGAAACACAAATCGCAAAAACACAAGTACCCCAATACTCACCTTTCGGGGAGATGGCACCAATCTGCCCATCCCTACGAATATCCGAGCCGAAGAGACTGGGCACCTTTCTCGAGGATCGCCAGGCATGGCTTGTTCAGGGTGAATTCTTGTGGTTCCGAATGCAAGCTGCATGCTGATCTTCCGCAGATCTTCGCCCAGCCTTTGGCTCTCAGAGCGCGCTTTGCGTTGCGACGTGAGACGTGAGTGGCGCGATCCGCATCCCACCATGGGCAATATGCCGTTCTGCGATTTGTGCCAAGGGGAGGCAGGAGGCTTATCGCGTGTGCGTGTTGTTTGTTTGTTTGTTTGTTTGTTTGTTTGTTTGTTTGTTTGTTTGTTTTGTTTGTTTTGTTTGTTTGTTTGTTTGTTTGTTTGTTTGTTTGTGTTTGTTTCTAGTCAGCGTTTCAATCTTTTTGATCTTTTTTTGGGAGGGCGAGGTATCGCGATTGTCGTTGTGGTCACGGACATGCCGCGGCATCAACGACAATGTTTGACCATTTCTCAATATTTGACCATTTCTCCAATTGATGGTTGCTGAGGTCACCTCTCCGTTTTTTGGGAGGACATGTCAGGGCCTACTGTTCCAGCGTCCGTTTGCGGGTGGCAGCAAGTAACTTCTCTGCCAGACCCTTTCAAGCCATCAGGAAAGACAGGGCAATTTTGAAGGGACCATTGGTATTCTATTGGTTCCTATTATGTCTGTTGTGGGGGGCAAAAGAGCATTTACGATTGCGATTGTCAGTGTATGACCATCACCAGCTTGCTTTATGCATGGCCGCCCCGGGCGTCTTGGACACGGCAGAAAGATGTAGGCTGCGCGTATGGACATCTTTGGCTTCTGGGGATGCGTTGCCAGACCCTGGAGCAGCGTGTACATTTCATTCACTCCCCCTTGTTGCACAAAGATATGATCTTCGCTTCATTTTGATGTAGTTGGCTCATTTCTTTTTTTTGCTTCTACTTGTCTTGTCTATGCGGCGTTTGAGTTGTTTCCAGTTTCGCCGCACAGGAGAGATGCTTTGGTCAGGAATCTGACGGAATGGTTTGAGTGATTATTTCCTGAACGCAAGCTTGGAGGTTCAAAGCTAGTCCGCTTGGGCGGAAGAAAGCAGAGCTCAAAGTCAAAGTCAACGACTTTCCAGCCCAGCAACTGCAATTGGTCTAATGTTAGCCTTGCGTTTTCTGGCATGGAAAGGGCTTTCCGTGACCTTCTGTCGCATCAGGTCCGGGATGGGCTGGACGCAGTGATCAGAGACATGATCATCAGGTGCCTTCGAAAAGCAGCTGCCTCTTGGGATTTGGGTCTACCCAAAAACGGGAACACTTTGAGAATGCCTTCGCAAAGAGAAAACAGCATTCCAAGTGGAGTGCGTTGCGGGCTTGAAGTTGACCATTGTGATCCATTTCAGTCAGAGACGCCTTCCGCCAAAAGTTTCAGCCAAAAGCGGGTCCCGTGGTCATTGCAAAACATGGGGCAGTTATCCTTTCCGCCGGATGGAACAAACTTGCCCGCTTGTTGTCTCCATGTTGCCTTTGTGGCCTCCAGGGTCACGTTGGAAGGCTCTTCGAGCTATACGACTTGAACGGAGATGGAGTGATTTCGGCGGAAGAGATGTATAAAGTGGACCTCGCAGCCCTTGCTGGGCACATGGACACTGTCCATGAGGCACCGCTTGGCGTGGAGGGAGCTCAACGCCATGTGCAAGGGTTGTTTTTGAGGGGTCGTGTCTTGAAGGTGGGCGAGGGGTAGGGGGCTGCTGGGTGTGACATGAAACGGGATCCATGTTGTATCCAAGCATGAACAGAAGCGCGATGAAGTGATCTTTGGATTTGAGCAAAGCGACCCATGGTTCACTCCTTCCGCAACTTAGAGTTCGTTCCAGAAAGCTTGACTTCCGTTTCACACGAATGCTGCGAGCAAGTTATTTGCGGCCAGGGCTTGCCTGAAACTTGCCGCGCTCACCCTTGCTCTGTGTCCCGCGGCTCAAGTGCGGAAATATTGACTTGCCTCGCAGGAGTACAAGCAGCAAGTATGGAGGCGGGTTGAGATGAAATTCTGCCAGCACCTCGTCCGAGAGCAGAGGTCTGATGCTTCTGGTGCACGGAAGCTGACTGGGCTGCTTTGTAAAGCCACCATAGCTTCTGCAAATGGCTGTATTTGCTGCGACCAAGTAGACACCCGTCCTGCCTCGCTTTCTACAAGCAAGGCAGCTGAGTGTTTGATGCTTTGCTGAGCCAAGGATGCATGGCGATTTGACGCCTGTGCATCTCTCCATGTACAAAGCCTACATGCGACTCGGTCGCTTAACTCGTTGCCGGGAGGACAGTCTATTCTATTCGGTGCCACCGTGTTGGTTTGGGGCCTGAAGGAGGTTTTCACACGGTATGTTCATCCAAGACGGGTTCATTTATTCATCTCTGGCCTTGGCACGGAATCACAAAGCCCACAAACACCAGGTGCAAGATAAATCGAGTTGTGATGGTGATTGGCCGGTGGCTTGCTTGACCTATTCACGTGTCTTTGCTACTTGATAGTGGGATATATAGATGCTATTTGGACTCAACTGTAGCTTGAGGGTTCACGCCACCAGGCACAATGTGCGAACCGGGGACAACGTAGTACGTGGCAGTAAGTGAGGGCAAATCATGTTTATGACTCTGACCTTTCTAGGCCCCGCCGCAAGCCCCAGAAAACCACGACCCTGCACTCCCTGCTAAGGGACCGGTGGTTGAAAGAGATGGAGCCGAGTGACAGGCCGGGATTCGCTGGCTCGCGTCGGCCAAGTTCGATTTTCGGGCCGGGGAGATTTTGGTGACTCTGTGTTTGCA